TATTAATTAAAATTTTAAAAAATAATATAATTTATAATTATTAAAAACTTTTTTATAATTTAACTTGAGATCAAAATATTTAATGCTCATTTAGAAGAAAATTCAAAGGGTTAGAGAATGAATTTTCGAATTTTCAAGAATGAACTAAATAAAGGGTTAGGTTAATTAAATAAAATATTAGTGAATAATTTTATAATTGTACAGTAAATTGTGGTTGTGCACAAATAGAAAACTTCAAAATAAGAATTTGATTTTATGTGTAAAATTATTATAAATTTATTGTAATTTTTTTATAACTTTTAAAAAAATAATTAATTTTTTTAAAAATATACACATATCTAAAAGACTTAATTGACTAAGAAAAACACTCAAATCCCATTCCCAATCCCAAAGGCTCTCTAACAGTTAAAATTTTTTTAATTTTCTTAAATACATTAAGGTTTTATTTAGAAGTGCTATGTTGTGCTATTGTTATATGTTTTGTCTTTTAATATTGTAAAAATATATGAATATTAATTAAATTAATAAAAAGACAATAAATTTACATTTTTAAATAAATTACTACATAAAAGGGTTTGTGAGAAACATTGTCAAATAAAAACTCAAAACTGAAGCTGATGAGGAAGTGAATAATATCAAAATGAATAGTGATAATTGGATCAAAATTTAAAACCAATAATTTCATAAGTTATGTCATTTAAATTATTAAAATATAAATTTATATTATTTAATAATTAATTTTTTAAAATTATTAAATTCATGATTTTATATATATTAATTCATTTATATCATGTCACTTGTCTTAAATTTTAATCCAATATATCCATACCTTATCCAAATATGTAAATCTAGTTGGTGACTTGATTGTACGATCAAAAAATAAAAGTTAAATATTTAATTTGGTTCCTGAATGATTATACGGACTTTGATTTGATTTTTACTATTTACGAATTTACTTCAAATTAATTTTTTTATATAAAAAATAACTTACATATGTCATTTTTAATATGATACGTGGTTATTAGGTAATTATTTTTTGCCATTAAGTAATAAATACATCAATATTTTTTTGTACAGAATGACCAATTTCAGGCTGAATCGGTAAATAATATGGAACAAATCAAAGATTCATACAATAGTTAAGAATCAACTCAAGAATTTTTTGATTTAAGGACCAAATAGGGGTCTGTACGTTCAGCGACTTAATTGGGGTTTGACCAAAAATATATGCCGATAAAGTTTCCCTGATCTTCCCCTTCAACTATATCTTCACTCATCTTTAAAGCCAAGGCACCCTATCTTTGGTACCCATTTTATTTCACATTTTCCTCCTAGCTCGTAATTCCCAGTCCCCTGAGAAAACTTAATGGAGAAGTCAAGGAATGCTGGTTTCTGCGGAGGCGGTGAAGATGAGGAAAGGCAAACCATCAATGGAAGTTGTAAGGTTTAAGTGTTTTTTGTTCTTTTGCTTCGATAAAATTTTTATAGTGTCTTCACAGTCTATTTTGTCCATAATCTGTAGCGACAAATATCAACCGATATTTGCAAGATACCGATCTCAGTATTGGTGCCCAAAATGTCTTGGGGATCAATCAGATTCAGACTGCAGTCGAAGTCGAAGCAGAGTCAATGGAGCAACCGGAACCAGGTCAACGTCAGCCAGCAGATAGATCCACGGCAGATTCTCATTCAGGAGGAATTATTCGTCAAATTACTAAGGCAGAAAGGTCTGAAAGGAAAAGAAAGAGCGACCAAAAATATAGGAATAAAGTCAAGGTAATGAATAATAAGTGGGGATTTATATATCTATATACTCTGTAAGATGTAAGATGATCTAATTCAAATCAATTAGTTATAACTTTCCATCAAAATATGAATTACTACTTCATGATTATTGATTCCATCAATATAATTTTCAGCTGATAAATTGGAACGATAAGAAAATATATAGCTAAAATATATACATTTCCTTTGTGTCTAAAGTGTGTATATATATATATACAGATATATATACTTTTCCTAAATTTTAGATTTTTATTTCCCGTTATTTCTTGTTTATTTATCGTGATCTTTATCTAAAATATCTTATTTTTAAAGTTTAACTATGTAGCAACAATAAACAAGATTTTGATGCCATCAAAAAAAATGAGAGAGAGAGGACGAGAGAGAGGGAGAGGAGGCGACCGAAGGTCTACGGCAAGAAGGACAACACAGAGTAGAGGGCGTGGAAGATCTACAGGTAAATGGCAAGAGAGGAGGACTATGCCGGTGGGACAGAGGAGAAATCAACTCAACCGGAATCAACTTCAACAGGGAAAGTTAGGAGATTCTTATGACTGGGGGCTTTACAAACAGGCTGTACCGTATTTTTTTACAAACTTCCCAGATGAGTGGACTTATGCTGACATGTGGAACACTTTTAGAAGGTATGGTAGAGTATATGCCATCTACAGTCCAAATAGGAGAAGTAGGAATGGTAGCAGGTTTGGATTTGTGAGATACTTAGAGGTGAAAGACAGAAGGGAGCTGGAAATGAGGCTGGATCAGATTTGGGTTGAAGGAAGAAAGTTGTGGGTGAATACCCCGAGATATGTAGAGGCAAAGATGGAGGTGCGTGAACAGAAAACCACTCAAGGTTTTGAACCGAAAATCCAAACGAGGAGCTATGCTGATGTGGTGAAGAGCCATCAGGAGAAAGATCCAGAGGAGAAAGGGAGTAAGCATTTCACGGTGAAGCAATCGGAAGGGCAGAGAAACATCAGAAGCCAAGCTAGAAGTGAAGTGGGAGGTAGTGATAACAGGAAAGTGTGGCAAGAAA